TACAGCACGAGAATCTCCAAGATTCACAACATATAATGTCCCTTTCCAAATAACACCCACCAGACAACAAGAACCGGTTGCTGCTATCGATGGCTTGATACCATATGTTCTTCGAACAAGATTCAGAAATCCATCTTCAGTAGCAGAAACAGCATCCCGGAGTATATCTTCAGATATAGTACCATTTTCTTGGGCAATCCCTGTAACCAGATTCACCACAAAACTTCCATAACTACTTAAATGAAGACAGTTCCCAAGGCAAGCAAGATGCATAACAAATGATGAAAATATGCCAAGTTCATGAAATCTAATAATACATGCATTGATTGGAAAGCAGTATTACTATCGCCAGAGCATGTTCAGTCAATTCTGATCCAAAAATAAAAACAAAAAGAAATCTGAAATTCATAAACATGTCAACCAGAATTGGCAGAACAGTCGATTTGTAGAATAAAATTTATTTAGCCAGCCAAATTTTGGGAGATCCTCCATGGATAAGTCATTCCCAATGTAACCTACTAACATTCCAAGTGATTAATATGGAAGGAACCTATTAATCCCACAGTAAATATAAAACTAGAAAATGGAGCATTCAAAAGCAAACAAAGTGGTATATGATGACCCATTGAAGAGGGGAACACATAAAAACCCTCTTAAGCGAAATTGAGGATTAATTACTTCATAACTGATGATTCTAGAAATATATTTCCTCGTCCATTCTGCTTGAATATACGTTCAATAACTGGATCTCTCCAGATCATTTGTTTCTCTTTTCTCCTCTTTTCAAGAAATACCCTTCAAAAGAAAAGAGGGGGGGGGGGGGGAGTCAAGAGGACTGTTAACTGGCCTGATATTTCAGCTTCAGAAGACAAACCAGAATTTCCAGCATCGACTCTTAGAGGTCAGTTCCTTGCATTCTCAATTAAGTGCAAAATCAACAGAGCAACGATACAACAATACCATCTAAGGCCTAGACGGTATAAGGCCAAAGGGCCAACCAAACTTTAAAAAAAAAAAACACAAACACACACACACGGGCTATATAATTATAAAGGACACTAAAGTCCAAAAAATCAAACATTGAAAACACTGCACAACGACCCCTTCATTAAGTGACGAAAAGCAAACTATAAATCAATTAAAATAATCCAAGAGAGCGCATAAGACTCACTCATCATATGATTGAAGAGGTGATCGCAGACGAATCGGGACGCTTCGGGACCGCCATGGCCATCGTATATGCCAACGAACATGGCGTCTGGCCCCGTCACAACCTGGCTCTGATCCTCAATTACTTCATTGGCCTGAACTACAGCAAACGAGAATTCGCCGCACGAGTGCTTCTCAAGGTCCTTGTACCAGAGGAGTGCGTCTTCAGAGGCGGAAGAGTCAGCGATATCATCCCTGTTCATAGGGGCACACCGCTTGATCGGTCTCAAACACATAGAAACCATCCTTGCCAGCCACGAAAACATCCCACATTTCCCTCTCTAACAAATCCCTAAAATATTCGCCAGCGGCAGTTAACAGAAGAGGTCGGATACCCGAGGAGACGGCAGGACGAATTCCTGAATTCGAAAAATAAATTGCGATATCTTTGATAAGTGAATGAATACGGGCGGTGACTGATGGGGGAGAAAGAAGAAATCTGAAAGACACTGTAATTTCACAAAAGGAAAAACAAGAACCGTGCGTTATATGAGTCACGAAATGAGAAAGATTAAAAATAAAATAAAATTGGGAAGGTAGCATACAAGGCCAAGGAAAACAGAATCTGAAATTGAAAATAAAGAGAATGGAATTAATAATTTAGATTTGAAAACAAAACAGAAGATAAGATAAAGACTGAGGAAGTTTTGCCGGCAAAATAGAGAGAATAAAGGAATTAGGAGAATTGTGGGTAGGCGCAGAAACGGATTCTTAATGATGGTGGAGGCAAAGGTACGCACAGTGGCAAACAAGGTACTGATGGTAGAACGGGGGGTGGAAGTGGGAGGAGATGAAAGTGACGAAACCTGTGTTGACTTTTTAACGTGAAGACGATGCAGGGCGCATCAATCTGCCCCTTTTTCTCTTTTTTTAAATTGCAATTTCATTTCCGTTTGGCCCCACAACCAAATTGCTTCCATTTGTGATCTTTTGTTCTTCATGTTATAATAAATCAAGTTCAAACTTTTACGGGGGTAGATGCTTAGTGCTTTGTGTTTTCCTTCGCTATTGAAGAAATTTAGTTTTTGTTCATAGCATAACTAAAATGCAATTTATCTCTGAGACTTCCTGTAAATACAAAAAAACAAAAGAAAAGAAAAGAAAAAAGAAAAAGAAAAAGCGTAGAGGGGAGCATGTGGTTTTTGTAGTCCCACCGAGTTTAAAGTGAATCATATGGAGTATAAGAATGATTTTTTATAAAATTTACGTTAGATATTAATTGTATATAGATTTTTTGACATTATATTTATCGTAGATTATATTCATTAGTTAAAAAGTTAAAAATGATATCATAAAATATATTAATTGATCTTGGTATGTATAATAAAAATTGATGATAAAAAAATAAATTAGTAAATTAAAATTAGTTTCTTTTCTTTTGTTTTTTTTTTTTGGCGCTCAGACGAAAAGAGAGCATGAAATGCCGATTCAGATCGTGGTCATGGGCGTGGAATAAGGAAAACGAAAGAAATATACATAGTATATTGATACCCACTAATAGAATGCATTTATTAGATTGTGAGGGACAAATATAGGAGAATTTTAAATAAGTACAGGTCATGTGATTTAATTACCAATGAATTTTAAAAAAATTTAAAATTTTAGTTCAATTTAAAAGGATAAAAGTAAAAAATAATTTTAACTGTGAAAATAACAAAATACCCTTCATTTGTTATACATAATCACCGGCTATTAATTTTCTTACTTCACTTATTAATTTACTAACATGAGTTATAAATTATATGAGTTGACATATCAATAATTATATAAGATTTGATATCAATTGTTTAATCATAAGCAGCAATATTAGTTGTTAAATTATTAATTTTACTTGTTAATTTACTAACGTTAATTGTAAATTACTGACAGGTCATATAATTTACAACTGATGTCAGTAAATTAATAAGTAAAATTTGTAAATTAACAACTAATATTACTGCTTATCTATCAAATAGATGTAATTTATAAATAATATTGGTAAATTAACATGTGAAGTAATAAAATTAACAACTAGTAATTCCGTATAATAAGTAAAGGATATTTTGATCTTTTTACAATTAAAATTATTTCTACTTTTATTTCCCTTGACTAAACTAAAATTTTAAAATTTTGTGGAACTCACTAGTAATTAGTCATAACCCTGGTCCTTTTTTTGAAATTCTCCCATACATGTATGGTAGAAATAAGTTAGGTCGAATTAGGTTTTGATCAAATAAGCCTGAGCCTTTGTGGTAAATTAGCAGCTTAAAGCCTATATAAGACTTTTTTTATGATTTAAGCCGGGACCTACTTAAAGCCTGATATAGTTTAAAAACTTACTTAAAAGTAAGCTTTTTAAATAAGCTCGCATTTTAGTTTTTAATTCTCAAATATACTTCAGGACTATTATAATATATAATATATGACTTGATTTATCAATTATAATATATAATAATTGAAATGACTTACCAACTAAAATACAATATAACAATAAAGTAATAATATTAAGATTAATATATAAGTTTAATATAATTAAAAATATGGCCAGAGATAAAAAAAAATAGATTGATTAAAAATTAAATAATGAAAGTGATGTGTTTGGGATATATTACATAATATACATAATATATATATATATATATATAGGTCACATTGTTGGGCTAGTAGGATAGGCTTTGAAAAAATAGGTCTAACTTATTAATTAAACAAGCTTAATAAAAAGATTGAACCTGCTTAAGTTTATTTAATAAGTAGACTATGTTGGATTTGGAGTAGGTTAGATTGTATATTTCTATTAAAAGTTTGACCTATTTTCATCCTTGCATGTATTCCTGTTTGTGATTGTTAAGTGCGATTCTTTTTTCTTTTCTTGTTTCCTTTTTTGGTCAAATGCAGGTACCTTGTAATGCTAGAGTAGCTATAATATTTGGGTTATTTCTCTCTTCAATGCTCTACATGACGAGCTATTACGTACCATAGAGCTAAGAGAAATTGATGGGAAAGAGAGGATAGCAATCCCACCTTTGCCAAGGGTAAAACCATTGAACAAAAACGGCGGCTTAGGTTTTTAACCATATCACTCGTAGAGATAAGCATTTCTAAACTTTGAGTTGGTGTCTTCTTGGATAGTCAAGCATAATTACTGGATATTTCAACTTAGGTTTATTCAATTAAAATGATACAATCTGTTTCAAGCAGAGTTTTGAGCATAAACTAACGTTAGTAAGCGTGGCCAAGTAAATAAATTTGACCACTGATCTAATTAACCATGATAACTAAGTTTTCCAATACGTCGAATCCATTTTCTCTTCCCATGAGCCAGTGATGATAATATCCATGAACAAATGCCTATTTCGATCAACTGGTGATTGGCAACAACTACAATATTTTTAAACTGGGACCATGTAATAATGACAAAATGTGTGATCAATTAATTACACGGTTACTGCTCCGAAAATAATAGTAATAAATCCCTCGTGTGCAATTCTCCACAAGGAGTAACACTAGAACGAAGAGAGTAGAAACTCGCTACTTAGCCGAGATTATTATGCAAAGAACAGATGGAATACATATTAAATATTATTCGGAGACTAAAGAATAGCATCAATTAATGAATAACGAATGGTGATATTGTTGAATTCCAGGTTAGGTTTGACGCGGGTCGTTTCCTCCAGAGCCTTAATTTGGGCTCGTTCCAGGACTCGGCAGATCAGAGGCTAAACAATATCATTGATCAGACGCTTATGCCGATGATAATGCTTCTCCATGAAAACTCTGGACGCACCTTCTACGGTACTCCGCCACGTCTGCAAGCACCAGGGAACAAGTTAATGCAAGCTGGTAGAAAAAGGTTGTCAACATCAAGCCCTGCTTCTCATTATTTCATGGGCATTGAAAAGTCTGATTGACACATTCCGCTATGCCTCATCTCGATTTCAGCACTCGGAGTCGAAAGCCTCCGGTCGACTATTGTTACATGTTTCAGACAGTTACTTTTCTTCCTTCGAGTCAAAGCAAACTGATATTCGCAGAATCAAAGTGGCTTTAAAGAGAAACACAAGTTAAAAAAACTACATACTACACAAGCAGAAAGGAATAAAGGTCCACAGTTCCCAATACTCATATCCTCAATCCTCCTTGATCTTCTTTATGCATCCTGATTCCTCTCCCCTTTTTGTTATCAGCAGTGAGTTGAGCGATTGGAGTGAGAGTCACAGGCGAAGGAAGATGGAAGCGATACTGCTTGTGTGCTTACGCCTTTTGTTCACACCAAGACCGAAATCCTATTGATAGGACAGAGAAGTGAGTCTGTCATCTTGATAGAGATGGTTTTAGTGGCTTGCTACTATATTCCCCTTAGCGCTTACATCGAATTCAGGTAACTGAAGAAAGATAGAATATAGTGAAAATGGTGCCTGAAGGAGGTGGTTTGGACTAGATAACATCACGAAGCAAATGGATTCTGAAAAGACTCTGCTCCCCAGCTACGGCGGGAAATAATCAGCTGGATTTAACTAAGCAGTAACCATCTTAATCCTAGATTTTGTGTTTTATGCCAGTTTTTATTTTAAAGCTTGAATTATATAGGATGAAGCCGCAAAATGACAGCACGATCGGTGATAAACTCGGTAAGCACCGACTACTGTAAAATTGGACGATAACTCTTCCATGAGCAATTCGAGCGTAGATAGATAACCAACAAAATCAAGAATTGAAGGAACGCGTATATGTAAAAGAAGCTGACCTTCTCAAGCGTTCCGAAGAGGGATCTGTTTCTGATATCCCTGGCCTTGAGGTGGACCCGAGCAATGCCAAGTTGGCGGAGCAGAGTGGAGCGGCGAGTGGCGGCGGGCGTGAGAAGCGACCTTCTCTCGACCAGCGACCTTCTCTCGACCAGAGCGGAGCCACCGTGGGCAGGGCTGTGGCAGTGAGATTCAGCGAGGGTCTTTCGGCGCTTATGCTTGATTTTGGGGGGATGGGAATCCAAGTGGGCGAATTTCTGGAGGAGTTGGTCGGAAGAGTTTTTGGCAACGTGCTGGACAGTAGGTGCGGCGGAGAGAGTGACCATCGTGAAGAAGGAGAAGGAGAAGAAGAGAGGGAGCGAAGTGGAATATGGGGGTTGGTATAAAAGTGGCAGGAGTAAGAAAAAAGAATTAAGAACTTTATTGGGGGGAAGGGACCGTTGAGGAAAGGCTTGTATGATTGAAAGAAATATAGCCGTTGCAGGACTAAACAAGTGATGAGTTTGCGATGATTTGGATTCGGCATGTTTTATGCCAATGCGCTCCCCCTCCATGTGCCTTCCTCCCACATGCTTCTGTAAAAGAACTGGCCCTCTCCAAACTGAAATTCCTTTCTTGCCCTTCTTCGCCCACCTAAGGCACGTCCATAATGGTTAGTTAGGTCCTTCCGGCGCCCAGAACGGTGTCTATTGTTAGGCAAACGTGGCTATTGCCTTATGCCTAAAAAAATTTGCTTATACTCTATATAATTCTGGTCATTATTTTTACTTGGCAATTGTTATTATTAATTACATCTTTTCATTAATAATTCATTATCCTGCATTTCTTTTACTGTGTCTATCATTCTCATTTTCCAATATCAATTAGCCATAAGGAGAAGTAATATCAACATACTGCCCCAATATATAGAATGGACGGGGACCACTTTGGTAGCATCTAACAATTCTCATTTCTCCCTTCCTTTCAATCAAATTGTTGCCACCATCAATTTTTTTTTTTTTTGAAAGCAAATATTACTATGTTGAAATTAAAACAAAAAACACGAACCGTAGATTTAAAATGGCAGCCGCTTCAAATGCATTTGTTACACTTTTACTGTTTATATCACTTTTTATTTGAAATTATAATTTTTTTAATTTTTTATGTAGCATTTAGAATGGAAAATGTCAAATAAACAATTTAAATACACTAAGCCTCTCAGAATAATTTCATCTTTGGCCTAGATCTTCTTCACATGGCTCAGCCAGCGTTGCTCACTTTCGTTTTGGGTTTCTAAGATGTTGAGCTTACACATTCTATTGTTAGCTTTCAATTTCTCCTCCCCCCTTTGACATCAGACCATAAAATTACTTATATTTTATTTATAATTTACTTTCAATCTCTTATTTTATTTATAAATTGATTTTAATTTGTTTTATTAAAATTGAAAAAAACCTTAAAATTTAATCCACAAAATTCATAAATTTTTAACTTTATTCTTATTTTATATATATATATATATATATTAACAACACACTCCCTCCAATCACACACACATATATATAAGTCACTTTTAGGAGAAATTCATCGTAATTCTTTTGATAAGTTACTTTGAATTAAAAAGTTGATCATTAATGTTTTTTTTTTTTTTTAAATTTTACCCTTCTACAATTTTCGATGGGTAGAAAGTACAATGTTACGTGAGAGAGAAAATAACTTTAAAAATAATGCATTTATTAAAGGTAAGTTGGGAAATTTTTTTAATTTTGAGATAACATCTAATAATCTAGCTACTTATCATTGATTTTGAAAAATAATTAGAAACAACTTATAAAAAGAATTAGAAGGCATACTTTATCTCTTAAATATTTAATAAAAGGTGAAAGAATAAATTTATGATAAAAATTTAATAATATGATTTATAAATAGCATGAAAAAATATGTTCTTTGTGACTTACAAATGAAATTAAAGAAGTATGTTTTTATTTTAGACAACTTTTGAGGAGGTTCTTTCAAAATTATTATAAAAGAATTCAGTAAAATCATTTTGATTTTTAATTTCATTGAAGTACTTTAGGTCTTAAATGAGCTTCATTAGTTTAATGAGCTTTACGAAAATAACTAAAAAAATGGCCCACGCGATGCACAGGACTAGGAAAAATTCATTTTTTCCTTTTTTTTTTAGTTGTCTTTAGACATTACTTCACGTGAGTACGTTTTTTTTTTTTTTTGTGAAGTTCTAACTTTATAAAAATGTGAGTCCCATATTATATTCAATGTGTTGTTTATTTTTAGTAGGCCATAGCACATTATAATTGTTTTAATCTTTTTGTTTAACAAATTTCACTTATCTTAGATTGCATAAAATATGATCATAATAGTTGAATAAAAATAATTGTGTGGATCTTATAAAAAAATGGTAACACGATGTTATAAAAATATAATATTTGGCCAAAAAATAAAAATAAAAATATAATATAAAAATTTTATTAGATGTTAATAGTTGCTACTAGGCATGCTTTCTTAAAAAAAAAATAAAGTGAAAAAGATTTTGAACATAGAAAAAGTACGGAAAAAATCACATCGTGAAAAACGAAAAAAACCACCAATGAAATTTATTATCCACACCATAAGTATATGATAAGTTATTCTAATAAGAACTTGTTATTTTTTTATGAATAAGAGTTGAGTTTAATAAAAAAAATTAATCTCCTAGTAACATGATAAATTAAGTTTTAAATTTCTATTAAAAAAGTGCCTATATTTAATACTTGAATAGGATTGTCTATAATTGAAAAATACCTGTGAACAATAAAAAAAATTTTATTATTTTTTAAAATATTTTTTTACTTTTGTGAATGCTAAAATAGAGACATCTTATTTTATTTTAGAATTTATTACTTACAAAGAAATTTAAAAATTGAATAAATATAAGATGTGTTAGCACGATGTCACAACATTGCAATTCAAAAGTAATCTTTAAATGGTATCTGTAACAGCCCTCCGCTCACCCCGCCTACCCGAGGTCTTTTACGGCGCTGGACACTCTCCCCCCAGGCCCCACAACAGGGCGACCCCACCCCTTACGGTAAGCATCAGGAGACAAAGGCTTCCCCGCAGTAGTTTGCGGATTATTCCCCTTGCGGAGAGCCTCCCCAGGTTCGATCCTCCAACCTCTCCTACATAACAGGGCGACCCCACCCCTTACGGTTGAGCATCAGGAGACAAAGGCTTCCCCGCAGTAGTTTGCGGATTATTCCCCTTGCGGAGAGCCTCCCCAGGTTCGATCCTCCAACCTCTCCTACATAACAAAGTTGAGGCTGAACCTGGTACCATTGAACCAACTGACTCAATGGTACCAGGTTCAGCCTCAACTTTGTTATGTAGGAGAGGTTGGAGGATTGAACCTGGGGAGGCTCTCCGCAAGGGGAATAATCCGCAAACTACTGCGGGGAAGCCTTTGTCTCCTGATGCTCACCGTAAGGGGTGGGGTCGCCCTGTTGTGGGGCCTGGGGGGAGAGTGTCCAGCGCCGCAAAAGACCTCGGGTAGGCGGGGTGAGCGGAGGGCTGTTACAGTATCAGTCACCGTCAGACATGCTTTGAGTTTTCTAACAAAATACAAAAAATATATGCATAACTAAAAAACAATTGATTTTTTTTTCCTTAAAAAAGACGATATCAGGTGGATCACTAATGAATTTCTATTTTTTCTAAACATTTTTATAAGTCACTTTATATTAAAAAGTGGATATTTAATATTTTTTTAAATTTTATCCTTTCATAATTTTTGATGAGTGCGGAATAAAAATTTTTATGAGAATGAAAATTCTTCTAAAGTGATGCATTTATTAAAGGTAAGTGGATTTTGTTTTTTCATTTTGAAACAATAAGAATAGTCTAATTACCTCTCATTGATTCTAGTAAAATAGTTAAAAGCAACTTATAAGAAAAATTGGAGGAAATATTTTATCTCTCCTACAGTCCTACATTTAATAAAAAATAAAAAATATATAATAAAAATTTAATGATATAATTTACAGATAGGATAAACGTGTCTTTTTTTTTTCCATCCTATAAATGAAATATAGGGAGCATGTTCTTATCTTAGACAACCCTGGAGAAGGGCTTTCATAATTATTGTAAAAAGAATTCTTTGATAGATCCATTTTGATTTTTAATTTTATTGAAGTCTTTCAGGACTTAAATGAGATTCATTAATTTATTGAACTTTACTAAAATAATGTTTCTCATAAGGCACTACAATTATTGTTTTTTTTTTAAAGAAAAAAGTTTAGGTGAGTTTAGTCAGGATCAGGACACGTCTTCAAGCTTAAAGAATACTTACATAAATGCTTACAAATTGCCCACTAATAAGACCCTTACATCGACAATGAAATTTAAACCCACGACATTGTGTGTTTTAGACTAAATCTTGATGAAAAATTATATTCAGGTCCTATACAAAAAAATTAATTATTGCAAGATACATTGTCAACTAAACTAAGATAATTGATAATACATTCAGTTGTTAATGACCTTGGTTTAGTTGTTAATGAATGTTGTAGTAATTAATTTTTTTTGTGAGACTTCAATATAATTTTTTCAATCTTGATTACCAATTGAATTAATCTTTGTTGACGTGAGACACTTCAATGTTATTCTCTCATCATCCTTTTATTGCAGATTAAAATAATAAACAAAGTTCCCATAGCTTGTATTACACCAAATGCAAGTCTGTACATCAAGCGTTACTAGCCACTCAGGTATATATTATAGAATCATTGGCTCATAGAAATAGAAAAGTATTTGAAAGCAGAGTTTTAAAAACCGAGTCAGCCATCAAATCAAATTTGGCATTAATCCATGATTCAATGGTTAAATCATGATTAAATTGTTTGATATTGAGCTAATATGCTTTTAATTTATATATGATAATCAAATAAAAATATATGTAAATATGTTTTTAAGAAAATGTTATAAATGTTTGGTAATTTGATCCATTGTTGAATGAATACATGATTAATATTAATCATGAATGAAATCTTTCACTTTAAAATTAAGAAAGATGGTTATAAAATGATAATATGTCGGACACCTTTTAAAAAGATATTTAAGATACATTGAAAATATCATGTTTAAACAACAAAAAAATATAAATAAATAATAGAAGGTATAAAGATTAACATGATGTGGTTACATAAAAAAAAAAAAAGCTTCAAGATACTTAAAAAAAATCAACCATCATCACAATAAAAAGGAAAAACAAATAAGAATGCATTGTGCTGTATGTTTTTTTTTTTTTTGAACAAAAGCATTGTGCTGTATGTTGTAAGTACATCACATGTTTCAAATAGTTCCACATCGCTCATGTCAAAAGACAAAGGGTTGCATTCTTGTTTGTAAAAGGAGGGTGCAGCATCCATGACAATAAAGACGGATGAGTTTCAACTTTGCTAAAGTTGTAGCTCATGGCCTAGAATTTTTTTTTTGGGTATTTTCTTAAATTTTTATTTTTATTTCAGTATGGTTTTTAAAGGAATTGGTCTGATTTTGAATTAGTTTTATTAGTCTTTGACCTTTTTTGTGTTTGTTTTTGGAGTGTCAATTGTACTGAATCAAAAGTTAATTTCTAATTCAAATTAATTTGGTTCAGCTTCTTAAAATTTGTTTGAAATAAACCTCTCTCCTTTCAAATCATGGGTTAAAAGACAAAAACATCCAGGTTCATTCATTCTTCCAGAGTGTATTCCAAACACAAGAAGGTACAATAGTTTGGTGCATTTATTCTTCTGAATCACGTGACATGTTCCAAATCGCCCACGAATAAAATAAATTAATTAAAATTACATGACGAAAAGTAGCACAAGGGGGTGTAGCTCAAACGGTAGAGCGCTCGCTTTGCATGCGAGAGGTACGGGGTTCGATACCCCGCATCTCCATTTTCACGGTTCGCTTCTTTTGCCTTGCTTATTCTCCTTTTCGAAAGTTTGTTACGTCATACCAAATGCATGGGTTGTGTAAAAGTTCAATTTGAAATAAATTCGGTCCTATTTGGGTTAGATAAAAATTAATTTTTAAGATTAAAAAAATTAAAAAGATTATTTTTTTTTGAGTTGGACTAAACAAGAGATTGAATATCTGGATCACTTGATTTGATTCAGTCCTATAAATTTATTTAATATAATTATAATTAATTTATTAATTATCATTACACTAAGTTAGTTTGTAACAATAATTAGTATTTTTTTGTTTTATACAAGTCATAAATAATGAGCAATATTCTAACATTGACTAACCTCAATTTTTTTTATAGTAAAATTTCTTATTAACTTCGTGTAATAGACTTTAAATATATTGAAAGTTATTTAATATTGTTAAAGGTTGTTTAGTTTGAATAATTTATCTCGCAACTACAATATTTTTGTTGTTATTGAAAATTATTATAAATTTATGATTATTATTGTTGTGATAAATTTTATATGATTATAAATAATTTTATTATGTTAACTAAATTTTTCATGTTAAAATAAATTGCTACATCTCATAAATGAAAAAAAAATAAAAGGTGAGATATTGTGGATAAGATTGAGATCGATCTCCTAATCTTATTTAATTAGTTCCGTCCTGTTCAATTTTAAGTTATACTAAGATAAGATCGGACCACATATTACTTAACTCAGTTGTTTTTATAAAAAAAGTTAGATTTCAAATTAAATCGAAATCCTATCAAATTAGTTTTTTGTCCAGTCCTAGATAGCACGAAATGCGCCGCTGCTCCTCAGGAGCTCGTTTCTTCTTTTGCATTTTTATTTATTACATTGGATTATACATAAATAAAATATTAAAGTCCTCATCTACCATTTTCCCATTATATGAATGACATGACGAGGATGAAACTGATTCATATTGACCAATAAAATGATTAGCTAAAATCGTGATGCGTGTACATGCTTTTCCAGAAAAAAATTCATGAACACGAAGAGAAGGAAGACGCCTAATTGTTATTTCATGATTTAAATATGAATGGTTTTCAATGGGTATTACTTTCTTTCTTGTTTTTTTTGGCCAGGGGTATTACTTTCTTGAAAAAGGTCTTGCATTTAAGGATTTAAAATATTAAAAAACAGAAATGTAAAGAAGGGTTTGAAATACTAAAAAAAAATATAAAAAATTATGATAAAATTCGAGCACAATATAAAAATTAAAAGTTATACTTTTCCTACTTTCTTCATTTAATATTTTTAAAAAAATTTGAATATCATGTTAAAAATATTTAACATTTTGAGTCTTTTAATATTCAATTACTATTTTTTTAAATTCCTTAAATTAGAGGGTAATTAAGAAGATTTTATAATTGAGATAATTCATTTAACAAAAGCAATTATGGAAAAATGTATAATTTTAAATATAATTAATTAGTTTATTAGAATATAAATTAGTTAAAAAAATTTTATAATACAGCGGTGCAATATCTTGGGGACTTGCCTACTGAATTGGGGGAATGTGTGTTCCGTCTCCCTCGAGTATTGTTTTGTTTCGGTAACAAGGAGCAATAAATGGAAAATAAGTTCGGCGTTGTTAGTTTGTTGAGGACTTCACAATGGTGAAATTGAAGATGGAGACGCCTTCCACACCAGCGCTGCTAAATATATTGGTTCCTCCCTCCTTGTAAATAGCTTGCCTCCCTCCACCACTCCCTTGCTTCCATCTTGTGAAGAATCCCTCAGTCTTTGCCTGACATCTCTTTCAATGGCTGCTTCACAAGCCGCAGTTTTTTCCATTTCTGCTCTCCCTTCTTCCTGCAAGTATTCTTCTTCTATTTCAGCATCTCCTACTTCGCTGCTATTCCTGTCCCACTCTAATCGGAAACCTTTAAGGGGCAAGAGGCTTTGCCGCATCTCTGAGTGCAGAGCAATGGTTCAGGAGGCAGTTCAGGGAGCTCCGGCGGCTTATGCCAAGGAAATGGAGAGGCTTTCCGCCAAAGAATCGCTTCTTCTTGCTGTTAGTATCGACTTCTCCTCTTTTGCTGCGCTGATATTTTTGGGTCGTTTGCTTCCATTTGATATTTAGTTCTAATTACTTGGTTGACAATAAAAGGGGAATTTTCATTCGGAAACAAGTCAAGCCCCAAATTTCGTTTTGCTATATTTTCCTCTATTTTCCTATTTTAAATTTGAAATCTAGACATTATTGTTAATGGGCATTGGCGCCCCCCCCCCCCCGGCGGCGATTGTCCACTTTATAGTTTTATCATTATGAAAGCTGACAAATGAAGAATATAGGATTCAAACAAACTCTTCTGAGGACTGTAAATCACGCGCGCGCACATGCATAATTGCATATCCATGTACACTTCATGGAGATGGTATGAATTTTCCTCTTATTCTTCTTCTTCATGTTGAATAGACTCATTGTGAGTCACAAAAATTCATATAATACTGGAGGTGTGGTAATGTAGAACTGTTTGGATATAGAGAAATGAACAAAAGTTCTACAATGTTAATTTGGTTCCTGGGTCTTTTTCTGTTAAACATTCACCTGCCGAAAGAGCTGGGGAAAACAGATTCCGCCAGCGAAATGCAAGTACTGACAGTATAGTCTAGGAATGAGTGCTATATTCTGTTGCAAACCATCATTCTTATATCAGACATTGAAGACATCCTTCAGTTTAAAGATGCAGGGGGTTTTGAGGCCTTGGTCACTGGAAAGACATCAGATATGCAAAGAATTGATGTGACGGAAAGGATAACTAGTCTTGAACGGCTCAATCCAACGCCTCGCCCCACAACGTAAGTGGCAAAAACATCTATCCATACCCTTTGGTATGAGATGTTAATACCCTTTTCAATTGCAGGTCACCCTTTTTGGAAGGACGATGGAACTGTGAGTGGTTTGGTTCAGGAAGTCCAGGGTTGTTTGCTGCTAGGTTTATATTTGAGTGAGTGCTCTGATCACGGATTTGTATTTGGTTTTTCTTCTCCTTCAATTATCTGGTGGGATTTGGGATCATGTTTTTCTGATCATAAGAACTTGAAGCTTCTTTGAAACCTTTTAGTAAGTTTCTACTAAACTTAATGCCAATTATCACTTCTCAGGTGGCTTTTGTTTCTTTGCAGGAATTTCCCTTCAAGTTTAGCTACCTTGTCAAAAATGGACGTCTATGTTAAGGATGGAAATGCAAATATTACTGCAAGCATGAGATTGTTGAACTCGGTACTATTCTTTAGCTTTCAGGGCTGCCAAAAAATTTTACCTTTGGAATGTAAGAGCACTTTTTGTTGCTTTCTATCAGATTGAAATTAATCCCACTGTTGATAGCATGCTGCACTTGTGTTGTCAGCTTGCAAGAAAGTTAACCCCTCTGAGTTGTTTTATAGTATTCAGGATGCAGAACATGAACTCCGAATTGTTCTTAACATGCCAGGCTGTCATATTACACAGCCAGGTGACATCAAGCATGTGTCTCCATTTCTTTATATCAATTAGTGTAAATACATGCTTAAAACCCAAACCCAAGAAACCAGGGTAATAAATTCTCTAAAATTCTTCAGTAATTGATAATCTAAGTGAATTTCTATTTTGCAAGTAATATACGACTGAACATGATGTTTGTGCATTGATCTCTTAATCACAACTTCTTTGCAGACAGCCAAGAGGCCCATGATTGATGTTAGGCGTCCATTAATATATTAGTCATTAATAGAACTACAAACACAACAATGTTCATGAGTGGATCCTGTGTATTGTTTCACACAGGCAAAAAAAAAAGGATCCATTGTGAATTCTCCCTTCATTTACCTTTACTCAGACTCCTGAAGATATGAAAAGTGTGGTAGCAGTAGTTAGATACCGTGATTAGTTTGTGAATTCATCCCTAAAAAGAAAAAATTGATTCCAGAAGTTATTGTTTTTGTATTGGGCACTTCCTAAATATTTGTGGATTCAACACTTCTTATTGTACACCTTCTTTATGATATTTACCATTGGTTCTCCCTTGTTGATCACTTCATGGGCTTTGATCATGGATCGTATTAATCATATGTAGATAGAAAGCAAAATTATTCTATCAACCAAGTTATCTGTAGAAGGTCCGCTTCGACTGAAAGAGGAGTTTGTTGAAGGGATACTTGAGTCACCTAAAGTTATTGAGGAGTCAGTACCAGAACAGCTTAAAGGCGCACTTGGGCAGGCAGCTAATGCTGTACAGCAACTTCCTGTCCCTATCCGAGATGCTGTTACCAGTGGGCTGAAAGTTCCCCTGAGTAAGATTTGCCTATCTTCTATATGACCATCTGACAATATCCGACTTCTTTGAGAGCTTTTCACAATCTATTAAAGGCCATGTTCATGATGCCGTTGCCAAAATTATATGCTGAAATGAAATCTATCGAGCTGTACTCAGGGAAGCACCTTAGTTCCATCTCTGTTCCTTGAATGGTAACTTTCACATGCACTTCCTATGATGGTGACTGATAGATGACATATATTATCAGACGTATAGAACTTACTGTTGTGAGGCTGAATGTGCTAAGAGGATGCAGACACGACTCTTATGAAGGCAGTAATTGTTCTAGTTACTTTGACGATTGTGTAAATACTTCTGTTTCGGTGGTTCAGATCTCCTCTGTGAGCGAAAATTCTCACATTTAGTTGTTGATCATCAATTATTTAAACTATCTGCTATTTCCCGGGAAACAAATATGCGGAAGATAGGTTGTGCAAGAACTTCAAGGCGTTGACTTATAATTATGTATATGTGTAGAAAATGTAGAATCAAATGCTAGAGCTGGGACTACCATTCTATGTTCTCGCATCTTATGCCTATACTTTTTATCCAGTTTTTCTTGTGAAAACAAGGTTCTCACTTTCCTTTTTTAGCTTATGTAGGTGGAAGTTTCCAGAGACTTTTCATGATTTCTTATCTTGATGACGAGATACTTGTGAGCATTTGACACTGTATATATATATATATTTAAGCACGTTTTCCCATGTTTATCTTTTGTCTCACTGCTGTTTTTGCCACAATAGATGCTGAAAATTTTGCTGCATTAATTCTTAATTAAGTTAAATGGAAATTGCAATGAGAAGTTCCAAATAAACTTTCCAATTTCGTTTGGGAAAAAATTTAAAAGCTCGAATTATGGAGTCCCAGAAAAGGTGAGTTGGAACCTGCTGAAAATAGCCAACACCCAGTGCAACTGAGAGTCTGGCTAGCTTGAATATTTCATTTTATTATTTTGGGTGACAGGAATACCTCGTTGATGATGTGCTGTTGTATCACTATCAGATGATATACATGTTTCAATTTTTTGCTGATCTATATGTCATTTGCGCCGCGTGCTAGAATTCATTAAGACACAGATATAAAGGTTCATTGTTAAAAAGAAGATCTGTTGATTACCGGAACTATAGATGTATATTTATTCTGTGGCACCTAAGTTTGCCTGACCCATCTTTACCAAATATTGAACCATGTCTTGCTTGTAACTCTGAATGCTTAAACTGTTTATGATGCAGATAATAAGGGACACCGCAGGAATGCCTGAAGTTCTAACAAGGCTGGATGCATCTCCATCTTCCTTGGCGGAGGCAAGCCCTGATTACGAGAGCTAAGATTTCTTCACTCGTAAGGAGCCTAAGTATATGCATACATATATATTCCCTAACTTATAGTTATGAATCAGAATCCATCTGTTTACCTTATACAAGTCATTTCTTGGACTCGTAAAACTAGTTGTTCTTCGTTATATGGATCATACGAGTTCTAAAGAAATTGTTGGAAGCATTCTAGACTCGGGAACTTTAGCGGAGCATCAATGCGAATTCACAGCGAACCTAAATCCTATAAAGAACTACTAATCTGTTTGAATTAAGGGGAATAAAAAGTGTAAATGTGCAAATTTGGCCACCATTTATTTTTCAGAAGCACTAGATAGCTTATGTTACAAGGTGGTGCAAAATAAATTTTTAACTTTTAAAAAAAGGTGCATCCAGTGCCCACCATTAATTTCACTCGACGGAAGTTGAGTGAGGCCAACAAAATTTGATTGAAAATAACACGTGACATTCCACCTTGACATGAGTAAAGGTATAAATTTAGTCATGAATTATTTTTCAAGAACACTAGATAACTTCTACTATTGGGCGATGTAAAGAAAATTAATTATGAAAAACGGATCATCTAAAACCTTCTTGTCAATTGTGACTAAATGTTATTTATTTTTAGAGTTATAGAACATACAACACATCAATTTTTTTAACCTTACCTTTGTTCTCAGCCTCAACTCAAAAGAAAGAGACTTAAAGAGCTTTTATTTGAAGATATTAAAAACTTAGAGAGTCTTAACTTGTCCATTTAGCCACAAATTATTTTTATAAAAATGAGTCATTGATAACTCTTTGAACTTCTTTAACTGAGACTGAGAACAAATGCAAAAAGATTGCAAAATTAACGTGTTATGACTCTCATAAGTTTGAATATTAGTATCTTCTTTTATGAATATTTTTAAATAAAAACTCTTTAAATATCTTCTCGAACTGAAACTGAGAATGAATGCAATAATATTAGAAAAACTGACGTATTGTGGATCTTATAAGTCTGAAAATTGGCATAATCTTTTTGAATAGTTTCAAATAATAACTCTTTGAGCATCTTCTTCTCGAGCTAAGACTAAAAACAAAGGCAAGAAAATTAAAAAAAATTGATGTGAGGTGAGTCTCATAAGTTTGAAAATAAAAGTGTTTGGTCAAAATTGAAAAAGTTGTTGAATGATCCATTTTTTATACTAAAAATTATCAAGTGTTCCTTAAAAAATAGTTCATTGTTAAATTTACACATTTATTTACTGAGGTGGAGTGCCACGTGTCATTTCTATTTTTTAAAGTTGAAAATTTATTTTGCGCCATCTTATAGTATAGGCTATCCAGTACTTTTAAAAAAAATAAAAACTTCTAAAAAATAATTAAGTCAAAATAAAAAAATAATTTTTAAATAAAAAATATTTAATTTGGATATGCGAAACAGAGTTTAAATTATTTTTTTCTTTTCTTTTATCATTCACACTTCACAGTTCAGAAAAAAAAATCTAATGAATTTATTGAAAAAAAAAATGAAGTGACAAGATGGACGGTATTGGCGTCAAAAAATTTGACCGTGGTAGGTTGACGCTCAAGTGCTTCGTGTTAGGTAGGCGTTGCATAATTTTTTTTTAAAAAGGAGTTTCGTTACCCCAAGTTGTAGATAGCATGACATGTTCCAAGAATGGGTAAAAATAATAATGCCCTAAATGAGAGCTGGCTTCTCTCTATTTCCCTCTCTTCACTTCCTCTCTATTTCTCATCTCCATTATTAGATTTATTTCTAAATGGTTAAGATTTAATATTTTATAAAATTATTTTTTAATTTTGTAATTATTATTAAAACATTAAATTTATAAAAAAATTTAAGATATAATTAATTATATCTAGCTAAAGTTCAAAATTTAAGATCATAATTAAAAAAATTATTTTATAAATATTAAATCTTAACTATTTAAAAAAAATTTGAAGATTGAGATGGAAAGTGAAAAAGAAATAGAGACGAAAAATGAAGAGAAGCTAACTTAATAAAATGCAGCGGTTGTGTGACGGAGATTGATAGGCCAAGCAAAACAGGGCCCTAAATTGACTTGGGAAAGAAAACGAAGACCATCGCTTTCCGTCTCGTCTACTGAAAATGGGAGCCATGACTTAAACGAAGTCGTGAGGAGTATTACTTGAATTGGGCAATAGAAACATGCCCTTTCGGCAGCCCATATTGTTTAAGAAATATAATGGATTAGCAGTGTGAACGTGCTGCATTAGTAGCATCATGTCATTTACCTTTTCATGCTACCTAAAAGCCGCTGGGGACAACTTGTCGCCACTACTGAATAATAGTTTAATGGGAGATATTGCACATGCTCCTTTTGACGTTGGAGTGATGTGAAACACTTTGACATTAAAAACCACGCTGTTTGACCGCGAAACTTGCAAGCGCTGTCATAACTCATGATGACCTGCCTTGTCTGATATGGAAGCACGAGGTTAGCTCATGTCAAAGTCTTTGATATGATTCACTTGGCTAATGAAATGAAATCAACTGAAAGAAGAAAAAAAATTATTTTTTTAATAATAATATAATAAAACTTATTATATATATATTATAAATATAAAAATTATCATACTTTTTAAAAATTTTATAAATTATAATTTTTAAACTTATAAAATGAATTATCTCTTTTTTTATAAATGTGATTATTGTTTTCTTTAATTATCTCACTTTTATCTTTGTTTTTTAATACATTACAGTTCTTTTTTTTTTTTTTTAAGTAACCAAAATGGGACCTCAACTTTTTAGCTTTAGGTTAGAACTTCAAAGGAGCATGTGGTGCCAGCTTGGGAAAGGTATCTTCAGTTTGTGTTCTAGTAACTCTCTGGAAAAGCTCCAAAGTTGGAGATTATTTTGCCGTTTGGGATAAGCTTGATGATAAGTCTTTGGTCTATTATTTGATGTCACGTCCCAAAGAAGCACCCCCACAAGCGTGGTGAACAATTTTGGACGCGTTGGCCCAAAAAAAAAAAGGTAAATCACAATAGAATTATGGGACAAAATTTATTGCTCTACAGTACCAAATAATTTTGACGTTACTTTACAAGATTAAAAGAATTTAAACATAATTAAAATTTATTATAAAAAAATAAAACTACCTCTTATATGTATATACACACAATCTTTGAACAAACAAATCCCTATCAAGGAAAAAAAAATCATATATTCAATTTAATAACAATTAATGTTTTTAATAACAATTCTAAAATATTAACTTAATGACAGAGAAGGAGTGTTGTAAGTGAACAAGTCTTTATTAGAAAAAAAATCTCATTTTTATTTTAATACTACTTTCATCCCAAATTATGAGACACTTTTGAGAAGTTTCTCAATCTCAAAATATAAAATACTTTGAATAGATTAATGTTTTATTAAATATATCAATTTCAGTATTACCCTTCTTCTCTCTATAATTAATCTTCGTTCTCTTCATTTTTTAATATATTAAATGATGGATTTTTTTAAAGTTTATATTTTTATTTTAAAAGACAAGGTTGTTTAATATATTTAATGAGGTTTATTGATATGTAAAATTTTATCTAAAAATATTTTTAATTTAAATGAGGGAGTGACAATCAATTTTTTCATCACAATGAATATATGTAGAGGAGAAGATTCGTGTTTTAACAACAAATTTTAATTCCATTTACGGAATAATATTTAGGATGCAGAGGGAAAGGGGGGAAAAAAAAAGCGCAATTTTGGATGTCTGGAGGGTCAATGACAACTTTGGATGCCATCGGAGCTACGTGTGGTCGGTTTTGATTCATCAGAAACTGACGATTTTCATACGTCAACCTGCCCCTGTTTTCATTTATATTTGTGATCATCAATTTATCAAGCTGCACTATAATAAGGTGGCCTGTAAAATGGATATTGCAACTTGCAATTCAATATTTTAAACGACTTTAATGCTTCTGTCTTGCAAGTCAACTCACTACTGTTGCTGAAATTTTTACCAAAAGATGGGAAAACATTTTAAAACATATTCACATTCTTTCCTTAATGGGTTCAATTTGTTATATTAATTGGTTTAATTTATTCACATATATTTCCGCCACAAAAAAATTATTACTATATATATATATATGTAGTCAATTGATTTTTCTCACTTTTACAAGTGCATATAAAAAGATTTTTTTAAAAAAGAAAACTGGTTTATAAGACTCACCTATTATAATTGTCTTTTTTCAAGTTTTCTTCATATAAAAACACTTTCCCCTAATATATAACTTAGCGCTCTGTCCAAATTTAAATTCTCAAGCCCGGCTTAGACAGGGAATCAAGTGCATCATGGAAGGGGTTCGTGCAAATATTCGTAGAACTTTCTTCTTCGACTGTTTGTTTCTTTGAATATATCAGATGTTATGGTTCGTGCAAATCTAAATGCATGTTCTTTAAATTAAACAAATAATTAAATAGAAACGGGATTATGCGTGCAGAAATACGTGTTGAGACACATTTCCTCGGTTAACTAGCCCAAATTGACCGCTTTTTATGAATGCCAATTGAGAGAAAAAAAGTTGTAAAGGCATTCATTTATTACAACGACTTTGTTGGCTCTTGAAGTTGAATACACACACACACACACACACATACATACGTGGATAAAGTGACTCGCTACTCGATCGTCCTTATTCATAATCTGAATAGATCATATAAAGAGCTACAGAGTGATAACACGCAAACTATTCGGCTTATTTATTCTTGCATAAATATTTGTAAACGTGCATGCATACACACACACACACCTTCTTTGATCTTAACTTCCTATTTGACTACGCGCTTTTATAATTTTGCTGTCCAAAGCATTTAGCCAACGCAGTTTGCATCGGTCACAAGTAAATTTAAAGAAAGCGTACGTCGCATGCTTAACCAAAAGCTGTGCATTTATCAGAGAGCAGCAAAGGGGCGCAACAGCAGAAATGAGAGGGCTCAATAGAAAGGGCAACCATCAAATCAAAGAGGCATAATTGCCACTGCCATTTTACATAACTATCAAGCATCGCGCTTTAATCTGAGGGAAGTTAAAAAAATAAAAAATAAATCAGGGTTGGCAAGCCATTATATTCAAGCCCGAGTTCCTTAATTTTATTCTTTAAGGTCAAGTTTCAAGGCATAATTTTCTTAAAAATATTAATTTTTCAAATCTAAATCCTTATAAAAGGAGTTTAAATGGACGGCCTGCAAGGACCAACCTGTATTGCCAAATGTCATTTTATTCACTTTTTAAAATATATTAACAAAGGAAAATATGGCCTTCCTTGGCCCTTGATACAACCGACAGCACGAAAGTCTCACTCCAAAGTACTATATATTAATTCTCCGTTGCAATAGTATAATATGTATAATAGCGGGTCACAAGCACCCTTGAAACGAAGCTCAATTATAAAGGTTTAAAAAAAGGCTATACGATATTCATTAAAAAAAAAATGTGCTTGTGATTTTTGAATCATTTATTAAAAAAATCTAGGTATAGCTGGTCTTTATCTTACATTATCCCAAGTGGAGGGAGCGCCAATGGATTTGGAGGCTATTTGGATGATTCCATATTATACAATTATATCTGACCCCACGCAAACTTCCCCCCGGTCCCGATTTGCCCACTGGGAACTCCCACTTCCTCACTTCAAACTTTATCAACATAAATGTGTCTCTAATTGAATTCTCCAGTGCAATATGTTTGAGTATTCATAATGACATAAATGTCGTACTACATTTTGGTATCAATTTTGCTGTTTGCACCCATATGTGCACCACAAAATTAGCTATACACCCCTATGTATAATACATGTCCTTGAAAGTATTCTAGGGATGAAGTCACAAATTTTAATTCGGAGGCCAAGATTGTAAAGTAAAAACATCCATATAAAGAATTTTAATAATTTGGCTATTACAAAAATTAGTAATTTTTTTAGAAAACTTTTCAGTAACAATCTTTTGATTTTTGAATAAGTAATTAATTTTGTGGTAGATATCTAATACATAGTATTTAAGGTATCTTGGGATTTTTATTGTAATGTTCATAAAGTTTGGTAATACCATAATTTATTTAATCAAATATAAAATGAAAGCAAAATCAAATGATATCAATACTTTTCGAGTATATGTGACATCATTTCAATTAGAATAAATAAATTATATGACAGTATATCTTTGAGAATTGAAGTAATTATATTATACATACATAAATAATTATATATATAATTGAAATGAGAATATTTGTCTAATATGTCTCCAAGGCACTGTAATGTGTTAATTTAGTTCGTTCCGATATGAGTCTCATTATTTTCAACCAAATAATTGACAAAATTATCTTATAATTCATCATCATATGACAAGAGCTATATCTGATTCATCAGTTAAACGGTATACATAATATTTTAAAAAGTTAAAAATATATAATTCCTACATTTTATTTTTAAAAAATAAAAAAATAGGAGGACCATGACCACGGGTCCCTCTATTTCCACCATTAATTGCTTGAAACAAAAGCGACATAAACATATATATATATATATATATATTGAAACAATTATCTTTTGCGCTTTCGTATATTGTTTGCTAAATAGAGGGACAAAAACACCTCCGTCTTCTTTCAATATGAAATTAAAGAAGAAAGCACCATTAATTATGATGCTTAATTAACTCAAGATTTGTACTGAAATTCTTTGTTTAATCTGATGAAGTTAATATTGTTAGGTCTAGAATCATAAAGGTGATAGCGCGACGGTGGCATCCATGGTTTTCCGATCCGTTAAAACCCAAAGAAGCAACCAGATCTTCTCTCTCAAATATCTTCATCTTCTGAAAATATGCCTGTCCATGGGGCTAACTACTTTTTTTCTCCAGGGAGACCGGGAGAGAATTGTTATTAAACCATATATACACGTATGGACTACGGGGAGACGGAGACAATGTCATGAAGAGATAGAGGTGACGATGAATAAACAAATCTGTATATGATAATTCCTAGAAGACACAAGTACATATATGATGATCAAACCCAGAAGCTATCAACGTACAATAATATTGGAAGGGACAAAAAGGGGTCAAAACATGCAAATGTAATACACATGCGAGTGTCTAAGAAAAAAGAGCATCTTCAAACTCCTGGGCGTGACGATGAGCAGCATCCGAATTAGGGGAAAATGGGAAATTGCCGAACTCAGATATGAAGCCCTCCAACCCTCTCAGGTAGCCGCCGGAGCTGATCTCACTATTGTAAAACCCTTGTTCTTCTTTGATCAATCTCTCCGTCGACTGATCAAACCCCAGGAACCCATCTGTGAGCTCCATTTTCACAGGGTCCGCAACATCTCTTGATTCCGATACACGCGTTTCCTGCTTAGTCTTTCTGCTGTAGTTTTGGATAGCGGTTGGTTTTCCGGTTAGCCTCTGCACCAGTTTTCGGAAGTTGTGGACATCGGTCTGGATGATTTCCGGAGCAAATATGTGAATGATGCGAATTTTGGGCTTCATTTTGGATATGGTTTGGGAGTGTTTGTGCATCCCCAGGTGTCCTCCTCCGGCTCCATTAACAATACTCGTCTCACCTTTCACCCCGTTCTCCATTAAAAGCAGCAGAAGATTGATTTCAGCACTTGTTTGAACGAGAACAAGATATATAGAGGAAGCTGAGAAGAGAGGTAGGGATGCACTGTTCGGATCACAGAGAATAAGTAGAGATATTAAGAAAAGTGGGAATTAATCTGGAGAAAGGAAACAAGCTGTCTTCTAAGAGGAAGGATTATTAGATGAATCCTTAATTGAGTGACAAATGCAAGAGCAGGAGAGAAGACAGAGATGAGTCATTTAAGTAATTGCAACGTAGCTCTCCATCCTCGTCTACCAATCACCATTCACCCGTACTTTTCATAACAATAAATAAATAAATAAAATATTTCATTTAATTTTTTTTAGAAGTCACCTCGAAACATAATTTTTGTCATTTCTTAATAGGTAGATGCTCATTACTTCCTCCTCAACACTAAATATTAAATCTAAGGTAGTGTTTGGATTTGAAGATTTGGATTTAAAATTTAGATTTCAAATCCCACATTTCAAATTATATATTTTAAATCCCTTGCTTAGATGCTTAAATAATTTCAAATTCCAACATTAACATCCTTTGTTTGGATTGTACAAAACTTCAAATAATCATAATTAAATTCTATTTTTATTTGTTCCTACTTATTAAAAATTATACTTTTATTGTTTTGTATTTAAATTATCAACTAAAATTGACCCTCCATCCATATTATTCCTAATTATTTTTTTCTATAAAATTGATCAATAGACAAAAACTAAACTTTAATTCAAAAAGTTAATCATTCAACAATAAAACAAAATATTAAGAACTTCATTAAAATATTCGAGTGACAAAATAAAATATTCTCAATACCAAGTAAAGCAAATGTAGAAAAGCTTGTATGGAAGGAGGGAAAAAAACCTCTTTGACTACAAATCAGTTTCGATATAAGAAAAATTGGTATATGATATTCATATCATCATAATGTGAATCTAAAATTTTAACTACTCCATCTAGTCTAAAATATACTCCTTGTGATTTTAAATATAGGAAAAAAATATCAATTCACACAATTTAAAAAAGTTGATTAATTAAGGACACTAATTATGTTTGAAATTAAAAAAATTAGACTAAATTATCCTATAATTAAGGAAACAATTTTATTTAGTAAAAACAATATTAATTTTATGAGGGATAATTTAAAAAACTATAATGAATACTTCTTAAAATTTATAGTTTTGCTTATAAATAAAAAGATACACATAGTAATTTCTAGTATATTAAAAAATGGGGAATATGACATTTTTTATCAACTAATATTGGTCTAAAATTTAAGATGCTTTGTAAAAGGTCACATGCATTGATTTTTTCCACAAATGTCATTATTAATTATATTGCAGAAAGATATTATATAAAAAATAAAGATAATTAAGATAGATAATTTTAATTGAAGGGTTAATCTTGAAAAAATATTGATAATTTTTACTTATTTAATTATACAAATTGCAAATCATTTTTAACTACTTTTCTCAATACCTATGAAGATAATTGAAAGTATCCCATATTTTAGACAAAAAGAAGTAATTATTCAAAACAAGGAAAACAAAAATTGACAAAAATAAATAAATAAATAAAATCTTTGACTACAATTCAATTTCAATATAAGAAAAACTTGCATTGTTCTATCAACTCGATATTCATTCCACATTTGCATAGCTAAAGTATCTCTATATATTGTCCATTATGTGTTGCTCGAATACTTCTAATATTCTCCTCATCTCCAATCTCATTCTCAACCCCCAAAGAATTTTTGAAGTCTTCATCTACCTCTCTGAGTAAGTCATATTCAAACGTTTCTTCTCTTACAAAGTTGTAAAGAATAAAACATGCATTTATGATTTTGACTTGAGTTTGCTTATCAAAAAAGCTAGCAGTTCGTAAAATAGCCCATCGCTTATTCAATAATCCAAAAGCCCTTTCAATGGTATTTCTTGCTGATGAGTGTTGAAGATTAAATAACTCTCTATAATTTGTTGGCGTGTTTCCTCTCTATAAATTAAGATGATACCTTGTTCCTCGATATGGTGCTAAAAAGCCTAGACCATTTGCATACCCAGCATCTACTAGATAATACCTATCTACAAAAGCACTTGAAATAATTAGTTTGTATTTTGGACACAAATTTCTCAATCTTAAAGTGATTATTTAATATTAGTGAAATCTTACTAGCTGGAATCTTTAAACCATGACGCCTATGAAGAGCATCACTTAAAATTCAAGAATCAGATGCAGATCCTTCCTAACTAGGTAGCACATATAAGAATATCATCTTAGGATCACAAACGCAAGAACATTAGTGCTCAACTCACCTTTCCTATTTTGATACCTTGCCCGATCTTCAATTGGAATGGTCATTTGAATATGGGTACCATCAAGTGCACCAAGCACACCCTAAAAAAATATCATTGTCAAACAATTAACAATTATATGAACTAAATTACAAACTTTTATTACCACAAAGAATTTTCACTTGTCATTATCTTGATAATTTGTATCTGAGTTGATCTCATTGATATAATATTTGCCTATCTTCATAATAGCCTTAAGAACCACATGAAATTGTCTGCCAATCATTTCTCCAGAACGTGCAAAAGCTGCCTTAATCCATCTATACTTTATTCCATGAGCAAGAATATGCACAAACAATGCTACAATTTCTTTAATTGTAACATCTCTTGAAGCCACTAACCCTCTTTTAGATTGCAAAATGCCATACAGTTTCTTGAATATAGCTGGAGTAAGGCATAATAACTCTAAGCTTGTGGTTTCACATTCTAGAATTTTCATCCAAAGAGATCTATGGTGAGCATGTTCACTTTCGTCCCATGAAATTTCTCGTAATCTACACTTATAGTTATGTGATGCTCCAATAACCATTGTAATAAAACTTACTATAAATAAAAATCTTCTGATTCTTCTTCCTCCTCAATCATACTGTTTTCATCTCTGGTACGCTTTCTCCCATTTTGCAAATTTTGTTGATTACGATCCATATTGAACAAACTACCTATTACATAAAAGTACTTTGGCATCAAAAACACCATCGAAATAATAAGGAAAACACTATAAGAAATGCCAAATAAACAGTGTTGGTTTTATGCAATTGAGTTAATAAATTCTCATATTTACAATTGAGTTCTTTGGTTAATATAGGGCTCAAGTTTAACAAAGAAAAATAGTCTTTGTTTGCAATAGACTTTTTAGGTCAATACACATAATAATAGCAGTTAATAATAAAAATCATCTCTAATATGTATTGGCATCTTGTAAATAAACAACGACCAGGACATGTTGAAATATTGATAAGAAAATCCAGGATCAAGAACAGTGATTAGGCAACTACCAACTGATATATAGTTCAAAATACAAAATAAAACATTGACTAGATTATAATAAGATTTCAAAGTTCTTACTACAAGCGATGAGCACCAAATCAATCTCTAAACTGTTGTAATTTAGAGACAGAATTAGGATTAAAACTATAGCTAATGCTCCAGCACAGGCTTGAACCCTAAAACATTGTCAATTCTCGGAATCAAGTCACACTTAAGGCTTATTATGCTTGGCATTTGCTATTGGATGGATAAGTTCATTTTGCCATCAAGAGAATATGCTGATGTCTTGCCTACATGTACATTGTTATCATAAGGATTTTATATCCTCTAGTACTATTCTGAAGTAGACTTCTCATTCAATTATATAGAACATAAGCTCTCGTCTCAAAATTTGATAAACATCTCTTCAAGGTCTTTAACAAATAAATATTTTTCTTTACTTGTAGGTTTTCGCCATGGTTCCTATGTAACATCATTATTGTGTGATTTTTTCTCTATGTATATTCCTTTTATAATGAATGTATTTTGACTTTTCCTTTGGGAAAAAGAAAAGTCAGGCTTAAGGCAATTTCACTCACCAATTCCTTTAGTACTCCTTATATTAGATACATACCCACATCCCACCCAATCCTAACTCCCTGAGCTTTCCTTAAAAGGTTAAAGGCTTCAATTCAATAAATTAACCAAAGAGAGAATTACACAAATCTCAAAATAAAAAAATTAGTTCCTTATAAATTTCACTTACTTGTAAATAGTACAGTTTAATATAGAAAAAAATCAAGTTGATCCCAAAAAACAAACTATTCATCACAAACCTTGACCATCTACATTAATATTTCTAATAATTCAGCAAGGCACAACACAGTCCAAATTTGTTTATTAACTAACCACAAACATGAGACATGGTTATGTCACTTTTCATTAAAACCAAGGTAACTAATGTAAACCCTGATGTAGAAATTTTCTATCAAACATGCACCTTGCTTTTGAAGAATTTAAGAACTAATCTCTAATCAATTTCCCATGTTTGCATCATAAAACAGTAAAGATAAACACCAACTGTATAATGTTACATAGCATGACTCATCAAAAATTTTTAAGGATATTAACTTCGAAAGAGAGTTTCTGACTTTTTGGGTGCTCTGGTTACATCTTTAAACAACAATTAACAATATTAAATAGAAGCCTTATCCAATTATGTTACATCTTTCATCCTTGCTATAATATCATCAATCTCATTCTGTCACATGTCTTAAGGAACATGCAAGACTGCAGAAACATTAGCTCAGTCTAATTTTGATGCATTCCTATATCGTTGTTCAACCATAAAGTCACATTGCTTATATCATGGTTCCTCTGACTATTTAGATTAATTATATAAATATCAAGTTTCAGCAATAATAAATACTTCAATGATTTTTTCCCCACTAAATAAAAGAAAGTAATAAGCAAGATATATAAAAGAATTAAGAGTTTCCTTTTTAAAGTCAACATTGGCCGTGAACATTTCTAATATCTATAGTTCTTAATTGCCAAATTATGTCTCAAAGCTAGCAGTTCTTGTGTCCTGTATGATTCTGAATATCTGAAAGCAAATTACTTGTCAATATCTAATAACAATCTTCATGCTACCGATAATTCTGGCAAGAACTGTCATCTCTTATTATGATGTCTCTTTAGTATACCCTATAGAGTGATTTCATAAATTCATGACAGTACTCACTAGATCTTAGATTTTTCATGACCCAAATTTTAGAATCTGCACTCGTCTTGATTAATCCAAAAGTAAGAGCAAGCTCGTTGAATATTAGAGTAGAAAACATAAATTCATCTAATCCCAGATCAAACAGCAAAAACAACAAAGAGGGAAATCTCAAACAAA